TTGGTTCCGCAATTCTTGCATCTTACTATATGATGATTACTGGTAATTTATAAAAAATTTTGGTGACAATTATATATTTTATTTTTATGTTAATATAATTATTTACTATTTATTTATTTATTAGGAGATTCAACTCCTGTTTCATTATGGATTTCAAGTGAAAATATTATAATAATGATTTTAATGATTTTGTTTTCATTTTTTATAATAATATATTTAATGAATCTATTTATTGGAATTCTCGGTAATTTACTTAGTGATAGAAATAATAATCTTGCTTATTTGGCTTTGAAAAGAGAGGTATACAGTAATTTTTTTTTATCGTTCAAAGTTAAAATACGGTACTTAAGTTTAATACTTTATATATTTTGTTTAGATTCTTAAAGAAATCGAATTATTTTATTTATTGCCTTATCAAAGAAGAAAGTATAATTGGTTTCCATATACTTTGTAAGTAATTATACTTATACGTAGTATTTTTCAAATTACTGTGATATACATCATATGGGAATCAGATCAGAATTAAAATTATAATATGAAAGGGTGAAACCGGATTTACGTGTAAGTCTATTCTATTTCAAAAATTCTATTAATTTATAGAATTCAAAGATGGCTTGAATATCAAAAATGAAACAAACTTATAGAGATATTTTTATTCAGAAATCTTGTGATTATAATACGATATGCTAAATAATTAAAAAGCGACAAAATTTTTTAGCATTTTACCTTTGAAGTAGCAATTTGCAAAAAACCGATTCCCGTATGATGGTCATCTGATGACACAGTAAATCGAAAAGCACAGTAAAACTAATTACTTAGTATCATTATGTTTTACAATCTACTAATTATAATCCACTATAAAAGCTTTTATTCAGTTTATATTAGTGAAATTCGTAAACTTATTAGTGATATCAATTCCGATAATTGGGATGATACAAAACCTATTGTTTCTAAAGCATCAAAAGCTATAAAAGATGAAAGACAAGAATCAGAAGAGGCAGGAGATGAAATACAGTCAAAAGATGAAAACCAAATCAAACGAATTGAAGTTTTGTTTACAGAGTTAAAAGACATGTTAGCAAAAAGTACAGTTTACAATCCTTTATATAATGAACCCACTCTATAACGAACTTTATTAATAGAGTTACTAACACGGAAGCGGGAATATTTAATTTTTATTCTAACATTGTTAGTTTTTTTTTTAAGTTTTTTTAAGCTTTTAATGAAGATATCTTAATAAAGACTTGTTGGTTAACAAAACAAAAGATCTAATATAATAATAGATATTATACAAATTAGTTTTCAAAGAGAATCTTTGAAAATACTATGTTTGGTGTCAATTTGTAAAAAATATGAATTTGAAGAAATTTTGTAGATTTCTGTACGATGGGTAATTGAAAAGCGCGGTAATAAATAGAAAATCAATTATGCATAAATAGAATCGAGTAAAGATATTTTGTGTTTGGATCCAAAATTAATATAAATCGCATAAATTGAGACTGTATTCTAAATTGTCTAAATGTTGGGAAATTTAGTTCAATTTTAATAAGTACCGTTATGTTAATTTAAAATTGACTCGAAATTAATTAATAATTTTTGGTTTGAATGGATGCTCTTAAAATTACACAAGGCAATTGAAATTTTTATAGCCTAAATGAATTAATCTTTCTCCATAAGCAAGTAAGAGGCATTACAGATTTAATTAATATCATTGTTCCATTAGCGTCCTTTAACGGTTTTTAAAAATTTTAATACGGAAATCATAATATACTTGTATTAACAGATTTTTTTTCAAATGCATTACAAAATAAGATGGATGTTCTTGCAGTCAGTCGTTTTTTAAAAAATTTACAGTATAGAGCGATTTGACGAATAAGAATTTCAATCTCTTTTTTTTATTTTTTATTTTTTTTTTGATGATTGATAATGATTAATTAATTTTTAATTTTAAATCAATTTAATAGGTGGAGTCGAAATTCACGAAATTCGATCTCGACGTACAGCAGTTACACATAATGTATAAAATATGATTCAAACTATACATTACGTAAAATACAGTAAATGCCATAAAAAAATATACAGTACATACCGTATAATTTAAGCCACAAATGTTATACTTTCGGTATATTTACTATACATAATGTATACTGAAGTTTACTATACTCATCTAACAGGCTATACTGCTTCATCACGAACTTCGAAGGTCCATATATTTACGTAATATCACGTAGACATTATGTAGTTGTTTGATATACATTATGTAAGTTTAAGACCACTTAACAATTTATATAAATTTAAGTTTCTTTTTGTGTAGTATTACTGAAGGTCCGTAGAAAACTTAAATATTTGTAAGATATTATATAATTTCATATAAATTCATGTAATTTCTTACCTAGTAATATTATAAAAAAAAGTTCGTGATGTTTACTATATATTCGTGATTTAACCAGAGGTAAGTTAACAATATCCTTATAAATATCTATTAATATCAAATTCAAATTCTAATTTGCTATGATAATCTAAAGTTTTATGTAATAATTATTTTAGTAAGTGGACAAATAACAAAAACATAAATTTATTAAATACTATAAAAAATATACCTTGAATTTGAAATTTCTCATTATATTTTTTTTGTCTTTTACTTTTGTTATAAATGCCTATTATATATTATTTTTCATTATTGTCATGTTAAGTTCTAAATTTATTTATACGCAGTTTTTCATTATTTACATACCATCGTCAGTTAAATCATTTTTATAAAGTTTATGTTTCTTTAGAATATTAATTTTCAAGTTATTTGCCAGGTAGTTGCTTGATAAAATTGAATAATCTATTTATTTATAAGTAAAATAGTTAAGTATATTTTAAATTTTAAAAAAAGTAAGCCAAGTAATTTAGCAATCTTACTCGTAAGAGTGCAATTGTTTAATTTCATCTGCAATGCAGTATTAACTAAAGAACTTAGCTGATGTTTTTGATAGGCGGAAGTATTATATTTTCTGGAAAATTTATTTCTTTATCACGTAGTTTCCAATAAATATCAAGAATGGAACTCCCAATATTATCAGCACTTGGTCTGTTTAATGGATTAGCATCCCAGCATTTTTTCATTATATCAATATAAATCTGTGGTAAATAATTAAATATTTTAGGACGAAGACCATTAAGGACATCAAAAATAAGATATTCATTATGAATACGATCGGAAAAAGGTCTTTGCCCGGTTATCATTTCCCACATAATCATTCCAAAGCTGTAAATATCTGAAGCTTCTGTATATTTTTCACCTTTGAATATATCAGGAGCAATATATGGAATTACTCCATATATTTCTTTCGTTTTTGTTGTCTCATTGGCTGGTTTACTTATTCCAAAATCTCCGATTCTTATATTTACAAAATAACCATTATGAACAAGTATATTACCACTATGAAAATCTCGATGAATAATTTGTTTACTATGAATTTTGCCGAGTCCTTCTGCTATATTTCTCAACATAGTTACTTTTTTCTCCCAAGAAAGAGTAAGAAAGTTTTTTGAAATATAATTATGTAAGTCACCATTCTCCACAAACTCCATTACAATCATATAATTTTTTGTTTCGGGATGTTGTGTGATGCCATAATATTTGGGTATATATCTATTACCATACGAAGTGATTGAACATTGAAAGGAATTTTTTAGCTAAAAATAAATGAAATAGGTTAACTAATGAACTTTAATAATAATATGTTACGTAAATATATATCATTTAAAAAATCAAGACTTATACTTTCTGAATCGTTAAGACTTTTAAGAACAACTGTATTATTCTCACAAAAATTCTCGAACTTTTTTTAAATGAGCTCCAATGAGTTTTCAGCTTACAAAAACATGTCGTTTTATATATTTCACTAAAACCACCTTTAGCAAGATAAGTAATATTATTGAATCGTTTATACGGAATAAATTCTATAAAAAGGCTTTGTTTATTTATCTTTGTAAGCCATTTGTCTATAACTTCATTTCCACTTAATGTTATTTGACTACAAAAGTTACATAGTAGTGCATTCTCATCCTTATGGAACTTTGATCTCTTACATCTATTGCATTTTCTAACTAATGGATTTCTGTTCCTGATGGCTTTATTTTTTTTGCGTAAAGTTGTTAAATTATCATCGTCCATTATGTTATCTAATTATGTCAATAATTATAAATGCTTCTATTGTTTATTTTTAAAATGGTAAAATTTCATAATTTTGAGCACACGATCTGAAATTCTGCCGCAGCAAGAATAGCCTGATATACATGCCCACGGTGTGGATCAAGGATCCTCAGATCTTCTTTCATTCACTCTCGTTCTAAATTAATTGATTTATTATTAGTATTATTAGATTATTGTTTGATGAACTAGAAATATTCATCGTGATGTATATCTTAGCCTCGTATTACCACAAGTCTTGTATTCAGACTTCGCTCTCATGTAATTATCTTGATAATAAGATATTATTACAACTACTTGTATCCGTCAAATGCAGTTAGTTGTTGCCTCTTTCGGCAAAGCCTATAAATCCTCTTTGATTAGTTGATTGTTCCAACGACATATTGATTCGCCGTATCACTAAGTTATAGTCGCTTAAGCTATAACTAACACGTCCCTTGAATTCGATTAAGAAGTGAATTCTAGGTGTGACACTATCAACTTATATTTATAAAAATACAAACGAGTACTTGTAAATTTAAATAAATTTTGTGATTAACGATTTATTGTTTTTGTTGAATGTAAATAACATTCTATTTCACTGCAGATCAGAAAATTCTTTAGCGTAACAAGAATATTCTATTTTTCTGCAAGTTGCAATTAGATTCTTAGAACAATTCTAGAATTAAGCGTTAGATACGTACACAGAAATGTTTATCGTTATCTAGAGAAAAACAGGCATTTACGCATGTACGTACATAAATACATAACATTTTATAGGATTATGATGAACCGTCCGTACTGATATATTGCATGGAATAAGACAAGTGTCTATAACTTGGTCAAAAATAAAGAAAAGATAATTAATGTGGTAGATAATGAAATCGGATTAAAATGAAACTGGGGACCTTTCTTGCTCATCTTTAAAGCTTATAAAACTCACTTATACTCTTTTATTAATAAAACTAACTCTAAACACTAACTCTAACACTAACCCTAACACTAACCCTAACCCTAAAAAATGTCCCCCAAAAAATTTTAAATTTTCCTAAAAAAATGGAAAAATTTCATTTTAATCTGCCACAATTAATACTGGAAGTTTTAGCTATTCTTTTTTACAGGGCGTCGGTGGTACCTCTTAACTCTTTTTATGAAAATAGAAATAAAAAAAAAAAAAGACTAAGTCGCTAATCCGTTAAAATTCTAATAGTTTAGCAAGCCATAAAATTTTAATAGGCTTAGAACACTCGTAACCAAATGAAAAGATTTTCATATCGTATTACACTTTAGTTTCTTTTTTAAAAAAAAACAAGTTCTTTTTATTTTATAACAGTGTGATAATATTCGATAAAAAAATTACATATTTACAAGAACTTGAAACTATCTGTTTACAAAATTTAAAATATAAATATTCAATAAAAAAAAAAAAAAAAAACTAACGATGCATTGATATTTAATATAATTTAAAAAAAAAAAAAAAAACTAACGATGCATTGATATTTAATATATATTTTTTTACACTATGTTATTAAGCTCAATTCACTTAGCAAAATTCATCAACCCATCTAATTGTAAAATCACGCATAGCTGCATTATCTAACCAATAATCTTCTGGGATGCTGCTTATAGCTGGTGTAAAATCTGTTGAGCTGGTATTTAAAGTTTTAGGATCTACTACCTTGGTGAATGTCTAAAGAAAAAAATATTAATTTATTATTAATTACTGTATAAATGTTTGGAAGAAAAAAAATCATACGAATTCAAATTATACATACCGATTGCAAGGAATGACCAGCATAGGGACGATCAAATGGATATCCCTAAATTAAAAGAAGATAATATTTAATTACTATATTATCAAATTAAATTTTCTAAAGAATAAATTTTTAAAAAATAACAAAAAAATTTACCATATCACGAGAATCAGGATATTTAGCTGGTCTTCCATTTTCAATCTTTCTACCGCACATACTTAAACTACCTTCGGCAGTACTTTCAGGAACTTTATCAGCATTCCAATCGGAGATATATACAAATAATTTAAATTTCATTCCTTTCTTAGTACCACGTGGAAGTAAAAGATGATATGGCCAACCACAACCACAATAATCTAAATTATATAATATTTTAAAGTATTTTTTAAGAACTCGTATCAATAAAAAATAAAGTATAATTTATGATTTAAAAAAAAAAATTTACCATTATCGAAGTCATCTCCTGGAGTGTCATCAAATACTTTTTGAGCAGGTTTTCGTATAACAGAAGAGAGTTCACAAGAACGAGCGATGACTGCTTCTTCTCCTGCTTTAAGTGTATATTTAAATTTATCCATTTCTATCCATTGTTTACGATCGTGCGCCAAAACTTCTGGAACAATAAATATTCTGAGTGTAACATGTTTTAACTGCCATCAATAAAAAAAAAATTTTAATTAATAAAATTAATACAATAATAATAATAATAGTAATAATAATAATAATAAAATATTGAGATATATATACCGCAGGCTCTTTAACAATTTTGTCGGCAGCAGCATCAAATGCATCTCTTGTAGTGTTATTTTTCACCTTAAAGAAATAATAAAATTCTCTAGGGAAAACATGTTCAATTTTACTAATTTCATTATTTGGACCTCTTATATTTCGAGGTACCATTTTAGTTTGTAATTCATCTGTAGCAGGAATTTTTCCAAAGTTTTTTTCACCAAATTTTTGCCATCCATCATGTGCACCATCAGGACAAACTTTTTCAAGTTGATCTTTAAAAGCGAGAATAATACCATTAGATTTAATTGAAACATCTGGAGCATCAGTGAAATTTCTAGCTTTTAAAGTTGTTTCAATACAACGATTAAATTGGTCATCAACCAAACGATGCCATCTGAAAAATGCAGGGTCTTTGCTGGCAATAGAAACATTTAAAATAACTCCCGTTGGATTACGAAGTTTTTTTGCTTCTAATGCTTTCGCTACATTCTCGTTACCTGCATAAATTTATTATACAATAATAAAATATAAAATAAATTATAAATAAATTATATTATAATAATAAATAATATTATTATAAAAAATAATAATAACTTACCAACAATTCTACCAATCATTACGTGACCCATTGCGTGTAATGAACCATACTTTTCTTTCCATTCATTATCTTCAAGTATATCAGGATTAGTACGATCAGGATCGATAGTACGACCAAGTTTGTCGGGATCATTCTAAAATTTTCATAAAAAAAAAAAAAGTATAAAGTTATTTTCTTAGTCAATAAAAAAAAGTTTGATTTTTTTTGAATTATTACATACGTAAAAGACACCATCATCAATTGATTTGTTAATTTTTT